GGGGGGGGGGGGGGGGTGAAGAGCGCGTGAACAAGAGAGAGACTCTTTCCCATTCTACCTATCTCTCTCTTCGTCCCTCTTTTTCCTCGATCGCCGACGACATCACGCGTTCACCACCGTCCGAACGGCACTCGATGGTCGATCCGCGACTCGGTGGTCACTCCGTCCGTCGGCGATCCTCGGCGGCGAAGGTGACTTTACCGGTTCGCATCTGAGCTCGGATCAGCCAGACGACGAACACGACGACGACGACGAACGTCAACTGAGGAGGAGCCCGGACCGCTCGACGTGCGACACGAACGAGTGGTCGAGCTCGTTCGCCACCTCGTCTCCCGCGGCTAGGCCGTAAGCGCAGAAGACGTCCAACGGTTCCTCGGGGGCGCAATAGAGACCGTAGGTACAGAGGTAATACACTCCGTACCTGCGGCACCAGTGGACGCAAGGATGACGACGATGGTCCACGTGGGTGAGCTCGCAGCAATCGCTCGTTCCGTTTCTTCTCTCGCTTCTCCAAGTGGTGGTGGTCGCGACGCCGGTGGTGATGTCGCCGGCGGTGATGGTATGGTTGTGAGTGGCGGCGTTGTCGTCGGTGGTGGCGGTAGCGACGATAGCAGCGGCGGCGGCGATGCTGCCGTCGCATCACGACGAGCACGCCATCCAGTTGCAGGTGCACGTGTAGCACGCCGCCGGTATGACGGGCGTGTAGTAGTAGCCGTTGGCGTAGACGTAGGTGGCCGGCGGCGCCTGGGGCGCCTGCTGGTGACTCGTCAGCCGTTGCTGCTGCTCCTGGCAGAGCACCTGATACGCGAGGTTTTCGATCAGGGCGAGGGTCTGCCGTCGCTCGTGGCCCATCAGGCAAACGGTGGACTCCTCGACGACGCTGTGCAGCAACATCAGGTACTGGTACTTGAGGGTCTCCTCCTCGGGCCCGACGAAATGATTCCACAGGTAGTTCTCGAGCTTGGCGCGCTGCTGACCTATGTCCGGGAAGTCGATGAAGAATCTCGAGCACATGTACCGCTCGAGGGTCTTGATGTAATCCGGCTGCGACGGCTTGTACATCTTCACAAGCAGGTTGCAATACTTGAGCAGGCCGCCGCCGCGTATCTCCTCGGGATGCCTCGTCGAGATGAGCTTCTTGTGCAGGTGGTAGAGCGCCTCCTGAAAGTCGCCGTACACGGACTCACCGACCACCGTCGGGTAGAAGTTCTCGCCGATCGGCAACTTGCTGCATTCGTAGAACAGCAAGAGCGAGTCGAGGACGATCTGGAAGGAGTCGACCGAGAACTCGAATTGCCGCCTCATCGAATCGACGAATTTGAGCTCGACGTTCCGGTGGCCCCGGGAATTGCCGAGGGAGATCAGGGACCACCGGTCGCCGTCGTTGTTCACCTTCACCATCTTGCTCACGTAGGCCTCCTTTAGGCTGCAGGTGGTGATGCGCTTGCGGCTCACGCCCTCCGGCAGCAAGTCGAACAGGGAACCGAGCACCGCGGCCTTGACCTTGTCGTAGTTGCGGCCGCTCGACAGCTCCACCGCGAAGATAAGGTCCAGGTCGTTGTAAGGCTGGGACTCGGTGGCCAGCACGTGGGAAGCGGCGCCGCCGTTCAACCGGATGTCGCGTACCCTCATGCCGGCGCCTCCGTTGCTCGGCTCGGTCTCCAGCTTGCTGCGCACTACCGTCACGAGGTCCCTCAGTCTGACCTCCAGGGTGGGGAAGTTACCCCGGCCGTGGATGCTCACGACCTCGTTCATCACGTCGTTCAGCCGGCGCACTTGCTCGAAGCTTAGCACCGCCAGCCTCTGCTGCGGATCGGCGCACTCGCCGGCGTTGCTGTTTACGTTGTTGTTGTTGGTCTCCTTGAGACCGCCATTGCTGATGCCGTTGGTTTTACTGCCATTCACCTGGCAGAGCGACTCCATCATAGCGACCCGACGCTGGCGTTCCTCGCCGATCTCCAGGGAGCCACACTGCAACAATCACCAGACCACGAGACTTTTACGATTTTTTCTCTCTCTTTCCTTCTTTCTTTCTATCGTAAGCGGCCGAGCGATGCATTAGTGAATTACACGAACGAACGAGCGTGATCCGCGCCGCCTTTGCGACGCTTTGACCGATATAAATCTCTCGCAAACGTTTCTTCCTCGCTTTTCATTTCCTCCTCCTCCTTTCTCTCTCGTTATACACGCGTTTTGCCGGGAAACACCCGTCGCACGAAATTTATGAAAATGTTTGCGAGACACGACGTTGGATATTTCCCGCAAAAGCTCTCGCGCTTCTCTACACATGCACGCACGCACATCCCCCCTCTTTCTTTCTGAGGAGTGCAACATTCACCAGCGCGCGAGGTTAAAGGTCGATAAAGCGTGAAAAACGTTTCTCGCGTGCGTCGCACTCGCGAATTTCCGAGGTGCGAGCGCGCGTACACACATATGTGCATGCACACACGTTAAAGCGGAACCGAGCGCGCGCCCTTCAGCGAATATCTATGTCATGGTGCTTAAAGTGTACGAGTGCACAGCGAGAAATGCCACGAGGTTACGTCCGGGTGCGCGACGTACGGCCAGCAGCGCCGCGTATCCCGTTCAAAGAGCCCTCGGCTATTGGCTTTTATACCGTATATCCGCACCTCGGAAAAGTGCAACAAGTCGTGCCAGTGTCGTATTTCGATGAATTCGATTGCCTCTTGTTCATTATTAAACTCGCGCGCCATTCAAACACAGACTCGCCCCCCCCCCCCCTCTATCACTCTCTTTCTAGCGCGCACGCGAATCGTCGCGATATACGGAAAATAAAAGATAACATGAATAGGCGATCGGAATACGGAGGTGCATGAAACGAACAAAGGATAAAGGATAAAAAGCAAACGAGAGAGCCGCCGGCACGCCGGTGTCGATGCACGAGATAATTCATCCGCTTGTAATAAAATGTGCACGATAATTAATGCAAAATCCAAGGAAACGAACGTTCCGGTTCTCCTTGATCATTAAATGCCACTACAAACGCTCGTTTGCCCTTTACCTCGTATCTGTTTTCGACCGGATAGATCAAAGAGAGCCTTGTTATGAATTTGCGTTTTTCACGAAGGTACGCACAGCAAAAGATTTCGTGTGAAAAATGTCCAACTGGTACTTTGTGTTGTTCTAACGCAGGAAATGTGTTAAAAAGTAAACAAATATAATGTTAAATTAATATGTTTACTTTACCAACATTGAAATTAACATATTTACCTCGTATGAAATTAACATATTTACCATCGTATATTTACCTCGTAACATATGCTGACAAATGAATGTGTTAATTTAACACTATATTTGTATACTTTTTAACAAATATCGGGCACTTTTTAACACATTTTCAATGTCAAAGTAATGCCGAATTTCAGTGGACCTTTTTCAACGCAAAATTTGCTTATCGTGTACGAGCCCTCGTCGTACATATTCGAAGTCGATATTTTTCTCTCTGGCGATAGTGCAGACGGGATTAGTTCATTGTTCGCGAAAGGATCCAACATCGATTCGCATGGCGTCAATCTGTCGCCAAAAATCGGCGTATCGATTATTATCATACCTCTCGCGTATCGTATATGTTCGCGATAATCGCCATTGTATATCTCAGTGGAAAGCGACGAGTTCGTGTCGACAGACTCGTATATTCCTATATGTAGTAATAATAATAATAATAATAATAATGATAATAATAACGGACACTTCTAGTTCGCAATCCGCGTTAAGAACCGTCTACACCGGAAGTAAGCTATAATGAGTAAAGGACATCAACATTGGAAATAAGCAGTAAGAAGTAGGATATTGGTTGGCAGTAAGGCAGTAGGAAATGGGAATGATCCATTTCGCTTACACCCGATGTTACGCTTCGTTATCGGGAAAACCCTCTTACTTCCTATTCTGCAGTCTTAGTACCTCCACAATGTAGACGATCCTTTAACCGATCCTACTCTCGCGACGAGAGCTTTAGACGACGCCGAAGAAACGACAGAGGCCGAAAACAACAAAAACAGGCAGTGTCATCTCTACCAGATATCATGGGAAGTCAAGGTCACGGATGTGTCTTTGACTCGCACAAGGTAGCCTGTTATTACCGCTTATTGACGCGAGAGAGCTTCTGACGAAGGACGAAGAGTGAGAGCGAATGCGGCTTTCAAACGCGTGTTTATGCGGAACACGACCTCCCCTTCCCTCTTTCTCCCTCGTGTTCATTCGGTCGATGACGGACGCGCGAAAAATCGTCATCTCATGACTCGAGCAACGAATAACTAGATCATAATCCCGAAATCCGCATCTCCGGACAATGCGCCGAGTTCTCGGGTGCGTCGGAAAATGCGTTAATATCCTAGGAGCCCAGTAAGCACCAACAATGACATTACAACTATGTTATAATTTCCCACTCAACAATGTAATTGTTACATCCAACGCATGCTATATTGCATTTACATTGTTGAGCGAAAAATGATAGCATTGACGTAGTGTCATTGTTAGTTGGTGTTTACTGGGAGACAATGTAGCACGGATATATGATCTCAAGCCCTCTTCTCACGATATGACAAATATAGGCGAATGTTGGAAATTATATTAATAGCGCACGTTATGTTATTTATGTTACATTACGTTATATTACAGCTGTTGTATCATCACGTATGTTACATTCGCCCAACATATGTGGTACACGTTCGCCTACAATTGCCACATCGTGTAGAAACCGGTTTTACCGAGGCGTCTGCAAATACACGAAATCCCGGGGGAAAAAAAAGAAAACAATAAGAAATAAACCAAATAAATATATGAGCTTTGCCAGGCTTTCACATATTTCTCACGGGCGAGAGACAAAGATATATTTCGATACGCGTTGTTTTCCGTTGTATCGATTTCGGTGACATTTGGCGCGCGCTACATCTGTATCTCTCCGAGTTTCCAACGTGCCGGGAAAATCGAACTTCGCGACATTGCCACGGGTTTCGAGGTGATGACCTTTCGAGGCGCGAGGGGCTCACCTCTTCGAATTTCAGCGCGTCTCCGAGTGTATTTTCCCGATCACGCCACTCGCGATCGCTGCGAGAAGAGAACGCGAGCTTCGCCCCGAAATTCCGAGAGCGAGAGGAACGACTCGACGACCGTGAGAAAGAGAGAGGGCCGTCGGCAGCCAATTTGCGACGGCGTCGTTATCGCGCTTTTCGCGAAAACGGCGGAACACTCGGCAAAGGAGTAGCCGTACGGGCGGATACGATACGCAATAAGTTCGAATCTAATTGCGATGTAATAGCAATTTCTTCACGGGCAATAACTTCAAATCGCGATTTCTTCACGGGCAATAACTTCAACGAAGGCGGGCTTCGCTCGCACGACGTAAAGCCGGGTACACAACGAACGAGGAACAGCGAGTGCACACTTTCGTCGTTACAAGTTGGAAAGTGTGTAAGTCATAACGAATCCGAACGGAAGTAAAGATTCGCAACAGATAGAGACAAATCGTAATTTCAAAGCAAAAAGTATTTTTTCCAGCACTGCCAGACGTCGCGACTTTCGACAGCGCGGGAAACGCGCTTTTGTCGAAAATGACGTTACATTTTACTACTCAGACCTTGCTACACTTATCGTGCATCCGAGGGAAACATCTCGGACCGATTTGCTTCGTAAGGTGGTTCAACGAGGAAAATTCACGCGGGTTTAGACGCGAAAGAAGTTGTGTTCCGAAATTCACCGCCAGTACCAAAAATCTATACCTTATCTCACGCATACTACAAATTTTTCACACTGGCGGTGCATATCGAGACGCAACCACACACGTTCGTCGTTTGTTCCTTCGTCCAGTGTACACCGACCTTAAGACGCATGCCAGACATGCGTCACAACGACGGGGTTGCTCACGTGAAGCACTTTGCATTACCGAAACACTATCATTTGCACGTGTACGTAAGCGACATAACGAACGAATAAAAGTTTACAACGACGCCGCTGCGGGGGGGAGGGAGACATGCACCTTCGTACGCGCGGCGCGAAACTTCGACACGTATGACGCGACGAATAACAGCGGGACAAAACCACCACCTCTCTCTGGTACGGAACACACACACACACACCAGGACACACCGCGCTGTATCGGCACTCTCTTCTTCTTCTTCTTCTTCGGCAATATCCCCTTAACTGCGACGAAACACCGAGACCGGGAGGATTCCCCTCACGAGAGCGAGTCGCGGCACATCTCGGTCACATTTTTCCGCAACGCGGGAGCACGAAACAATCTCTCTCTTTTTCCGCGCCGAAAGTCACGAATCTTCCGAGAATCGTGTTTGATCGGCGAATTCCTTAGCGGGCCGCGTGTGAAACGCAATAACGGCGGAGAAGAGGCTGGGAATCCGCGATTCGCGAATTTTCCACGTGAGACGGGAAGATCATCGAACGATGTCTCGAGGAGTCGGCCGCGTTGACGTGAGAGAGTCTCTTCCTCGCGGCGAGAACGCTGTCAAAGTGAGAAAGAGAGACGCGAGGGAGACACGTACCTAACGCACCGCGGATACTGGTCACGCGTACTGCAGGTGTGTGTGCGCGCGCGCGCGCGAGCACCTCGAAGAGAGACCCGCGGCTGATGAGAGACACCAGCGAACTGAGTCCGCGCGCGCGAGTGAAAGGCGACGGAACGGGGCTGGCGGCGGTAGTGATGGCAGCAGCAGCAATCGCAGCAACGTCAGCGACACTCGGGGTGCGGGAGGCCAAGCCAGTGCGAAGCCCTCTACTACCACTACTTCTATCGTCGCCACCACCACTACCGCAGTATCAATATCGCCACCGTCACCAACTACCACCACCTTATCCCCCCCTCCTGCTTCCCCAGCGGGGTACAGGACTATCGTCCGTGTGCGCGCATCCTAGATCGCTTGGTCTCTCTCTCTCTCTTTTTCTCTTACGACCCGTCGTCTATTGCGCTCGCGCGCGCAAGCGAGCGCGAACGGCGTAGT